TCGTGCCATCCCATAGGGACGCCCTGCCACCTCCGCCCGTCCTGTCGCGGGCCTCTCCCCTGCAGCCCTGACCCTGAGACCCACTGCACCTCCCCGTGGGGCGCTCTGACACCTCCTGTGTCCGCGCTCTGCCAATCGAGCCGTCACCACCTCCTCGGGCGCTGAATTAGGCGCGATTCACGGCCAGAATCCTATCAGATCTCTGCCGAACCGGCTGAATGCCATTTCAAAAACGCCGACAGCTCCTTCTGCGACGATCGGGCCAGTTATTGACACCACGGCCGGCGCGGCGCATTGTGGGCCCTTTTTAGCGGCGGCCGCGCCGCTCTCTGCGCCCAGGTGTCAATCACGCCGCTATTGGCATTCAGCGTGCTCTCGGCGCAGAAGCGGCCATTGTGGCGCCGGATATGCAAATATTTTTGGGTGTCGTAGATTAGGGATGCGTTTGATGGTGTCGGCGGTGCCACAAAGCGAGCGGAGCTCGGCGCGCTGTTTGGAGGTGCTGCCGTGCCGGTGTTTGCCGCGGTGATACAAAGCCCAGGTGCTAACACCACCCCCCTCGGCTGGTATCGGGGGGGGGGGGAGGGGGACAGAGGGGTGATGAGTGGCCGGCCGAGCGCACAGGAGAGCGGGGTAAGTGGGGTAATGCCGGGTAATGCCGGATGATACGGGGACGAGCGGTGGGGAGACTAGACCGAGTGGCGCCGCGGCCGCTCGGCTGAGCCACTGGAGCACACTTAGCACTGAGTAGAGTACACAAACGCTGCTCTTCCACAAACCGAACACTCAGTGAGGATCGGACCTCACTATATCCGCCTCTTCAATCGTCTTTATTGTGCAGCTTCCCAAAACAAGCACAAACCGACTGAAAGTCTCGATCGACATGTTGACTGGATGTCAAATCCAGGATGAAGACCGCCTCTTACCGCAGTTCAGGTAAAACGGCACCCGGACAGGGCTGGCGTTTTACCATATTATCGTACCTTTTCGCGAGCGCAGCTTCATCCCACGATGAAACTTCTCTCGACGAGGTCTCGCTAAAAGTCAGCTCAGCTGGCCATTAAATACATAACAAACACTCCTTCATCGCAGCACTCACGTCAGTTACATAACAAATCAATAACGGCCTTCCAGTTCACCAAAGGATGAATAGGTTATAGGGGCGCGCCCGTGCCCGTGCACGTGAGGCTAGCTAGACCAGTCAGCATCACATGGAAGCACAACGGAAAATAGCCGATAAGAATTATTGCTTGATTTATTAATTTGCCGATCAGATAATTGTAAATCAGATCTGGTGTTTGTGTGTGTGATCGTGCGGCAGGCACCCGGCCTCTCCCAATTTCCATCCGAAAGCGGATGACGACCATTGGCGGGCTTCGGTCGCCTGCGTGAGCAAGGGCGCGCCCAGGTCTGTATGCAGGGGGAGTGAGTTGACAAGGGAGTTTACTCCCTTTTTGGATAGCTCAGAAGACTAGACCGAGAAAATTGATAGCCAAAGTAAGGTCGAGGTTGTGTGTGCTCTGCTAGCCGACCCGATGACGTCGCCTGGCGCCGCCGCTGGCGGACCGTATATCACCGGCGGGCCGGAGCAGATGCTGCCGTGTGTTTTATCATCATCGTCTATTACCAGTCGAGCATGTGATTGGCCGCGGCCACAATTAACTGGCCGCCGCCGGAGGGGCGTTCTGCCGCCGTGTTTGTGGGCAAAGTGAGCCGTACGGCGGCGGCCGGCTGATGTCTGTATCAGTGGCGCGGGGCGGGTGACACCGCCGCCGCCGCCGCGCCGCACAATGGGTCCCTCCGCTCCTAATGGCCGGTCGGTTCACACCACATTAATGGCGAGTCGCGGCGCCGGCACAGAGCATCCGCAGCCAACTTGTCACGCGTCCGACAATGAAATCTGGGCTGGCGCCGGCGACTATCATCGATCGACTGTTCCAGCCGTCGGGTGCTCGCTCGGGTGCGGGGCTTTCATACACCCCTGTCTGTAGCGGGAGGGTATGTGTCGGGCTTGGTACTGCCCCTGTCCGATACAGGGACGGCACTTTCTGGGTCAGTTCAGCCACGGTCAATGACTGGCCAGTGACCAATGGCCAACGGATCTGACGGTCTTCTTCTTTCGGATCTAAAGGCTGAAACTCAGGACTGTGCCTCTCTCCGCGTCATAGGAATAGGATCCTATCCGAGAAACGTTCTAGTCTGAGCCTTACATAGGAGCCCCCCTGTCTGTCATAGGAGCTGCCCTTTCTGTCATAGGAGCTCCTATGTCTGGTGGAGGCCGGGGGCGGTGCACCCCGTTCATACTGCCCGTTTTACTGCCGGTGGCGGCTGGTGATGACCCAGCGGCCCGCCGGTGATGGCCCAACCGCCCGTCGGTGATGGCTCGGGGTCCACCGATGATGGCCCGGGGTCCTCTTATTCTCTGCTCCACTCACGGACCGACCCTTTGCGGCCGGCCGATGCGGCATTGTTCGTGTTTTACTGCCGTTCGTCGAGCAGCCGAGCGCCACTGGAAGACGTGATCCGAGCGTCCCGAGACGCGTCTGTGCTCACTCCGTGGGCGTCTGGGGGCGTCCGAGAGTGTCTGGGGGAGGGGGGGGGGGGGTCTGGGCCTGGGGGCGTCCGGGGGCGTCCGGGGGCATGTCTGAAGGCATCGGGTTCAGGCACGAGCAGAGGAGAGGAAATATGAATGACAACATGGACACAGAAACAGGTAAACGAAGTACCTGTTTGTCTAACTAAAACGTCGGCGCGACCGATTGCAGACTTATCCTTCACACTGCATGGGCTGGTCTGCCAGAGATTCATAGGTACCGAACCGGTAGCACGTGCCAACAACACGTGCCAGCGGTCTCCCAGAGATCGACTGCCCGATGTGCCCGATGTATCACGACCGATGGTCGGCAGCATGATGAAACTAAGATCCTTCTTAGAGCCACACTCGTCGAGGGTCGCTCTAAGAAGGATAACAGCCGACGCGCACTGATTCTCAGTCTTCCTACCGACCAGTGTGGAGTGCCCAACACTCACCACTCCGATCAACTCATGTGGAGTGCCGGCACTCATCCACTCCTCCGTACGGCCGGCGTGGAGTGCCCGGTATCCCCTCGCTGATATGTAGTGCCGCTCTGGAGTATCGGAGTAAAGAGCCGCCTCCGTGGACCACCGCCAGTGTGGCAGTGCTGGGAACAATCGGACTCGGCTGGGCGCGGCTCAGCGGCCCGGTGGGCCACTGTGGCCGATTGTTTCGGGATGGGATCCCGCTGGGACGGCAGACCTCCCCCGGAGAGGGACACGTGGCCATGGACAGGGTTAGAACGTGCTATTTGACTGGAGTGTTTCGAGAGAAGGGAGAGTTATTGTGATAGAGAATTGTCGAGTGCTCTACAAGTCGAATCAAAACAACCGTTACCAAGTTAGTCCATGGTCTGTGTGCAAACATGATTTTGAAACTTAACTCGTCTCCTTAAAAGTGCTCGTTAGTCGTACTCTGGCTGAAATCATTGGCTAACGTTTTCATGGGGCAAAGCGGAGAGCACTGCAAAAAAAAGGAACTACCATATCAGTAAGATTGTCGTTTTTGAGGCTGCATTGGCATTGGGTGTTCTCAAATACACAATTTTATCTTTTAAATGTTTAGCCTTTTTCGTAACCAAGACATTTGAAATTTACTTAGACGAAAGAAAACTGAATTTGAGAGAATCATAAGAAATACCTATTAGTGTTTTGTCCTTCGTACTATCACATATCAGTCAGGGATTTGTAAATGAAAAAGGCATTTTGGAAACGTTTACATTGCCATAAATGCATTCTTCAACATTTCGCTAAAGCTTATCAACGAGGGCTCTACCTCCCTGTCTCATATCTATCACATATCTATCACATAGGTATGTATCATCGTCTCTGTATAATCACAAATATAAAATAACTTAATGTAAAATTTTAATTCTAATTGGGTTTCGAAGATTAATTCGCTTTTTTATTGATCCACAGCCACAGGTGCTCATAATCAACCAATAACCACCAGGGAAAAGGGGTGTCGTAATAACAGTCGATATAATTTTTAATGGGAACTAATTATCCATTAACACCCAACAGTCGGCAGTAAGATAGCCATGCATTTCCTAAGCAGCAATCAGAAAACCTTGCAGCAAGTACAGACCACAATGCACCCCGCCCACCAGCACACTAAAGGCCGCCGTCCACTGCGACGGAATTCCGTCCGGAGTCCGTCCGGAATGTCGCCGCACGCTGGCCGCATCCGGTCCGGATGCGGTCCGGATGCGGTCCGCATGCGGAGACCTAATAAATGTTTCCTATCACTTATTACCAAATAAAATATTGCAAGTAACCAGCAGCGAATACTCTTGCCATTCTAAGGAAATAATTTTTACTTACTTCATGATGATCGAGTTCCAATTCTTCGTACAATTCACAATGTTTGCCTCCGATACGGCCCCAAACCACGTCTGTTCCGGACGTTCCGGATGCGTTTTCCGCAGAAAAGTTCAACGCGTCGGACATCACTCTTCCGTCTCCGTAGCAACCGCATCCGAAACGCATGCGGAGAGCTGACGGAAAATCAACAGCTGATTGCCGTTCGGATGCGGTCCGGACGGAGCGCACACGATTTCCGTACGGACCGGATGCGCCCATAGGGTTCTGTGTTAAATTCCGTACGGACCGCACGCGTTCCGCACAGTGGACGGCGGCCTTTAGTCCCACCCCTACTGCGGCCTGCTCCCCCCCCCCCCCCCCGGCTGTTTGTTGATCCGCGGCGGCGGCCTCCATCCCGCCTCTCCCGTCACCCCTCCGCTCTCTCTCTCCCCGCTCCGGCGCTCTGTCTGCGGAGGCTCCGCCGCCGAGCGGCCGCTTCCCCTCCTCCCATTATTGCTCGCTGCGGCCGCTGTCCCTGGCGACGTCACGGGAGGGGGCGGAGCCTGTCGGCCGGCCGCGTCCCATTGGTCGATGAGCTGATGCTCCGCTGACAGGGCGGATCCGCTGTCCCCGGGACGGTCTGCCGCCGCCGGCGGCCACTTGAAGGAGGTGTGGGGTGGGGACTGGCCGCCGCCGCCGCCGCCGCCGCAGCAGCCGAGTGAATCGCCGAGCCGACCGACCTGACTTGACCTGACCCGAGCGGGCCATGCTGGCGGCCGGGGAGGAGCTGCGCAGGATGGACACTGTCTCAGCCACCGCTGAAGGTAAGTCCGCCACCCTCCGCCGTGGTGGTGGCGTGGGAGCAGCGGTCAACAGATGTTCTTTTATTTCAGGAGAATGCACTCATATCTGTTAATTTTGCATGCATGACTGCACATCACGGTTTAGGTCACTTTTAACTTTGTATGCAAATGCGAATATTTTTATTTAAGTAGCCATTTAGTCAGTCTGGACATAATCTACATAGCGTGCCCGTTATACCACTCATGTGACATGTTCACGAATGTAAATGACGTATGCCGATGTCTGGCCATAATTGCTAGGGTCCGTCGCAATATAAGGCCGTGTTGCAGCTATGCTAATCGGCGATTGCTGTCGTCTACAAAACGATAATGGGGCTGCAATTTGACTGCGCGAGTTCTACGGCGACTCGGGTGTCATTCACTCCCGAGGCAGACCGATTCCAGTTGTGCAAACATGTTCGTGATCTTGTCATCGGCTCCATAGCTTTGAAAATTTGATGAGGAATGGTTCCCGATCCACCGAAGCAGCAATCCAGTAGTTTCCTTGATTGTTCATCCGTTATAAGGTTTCTAAGTCAGGGTTAGAGCAGGAATATAGCTGTCACAAAATAGTGTCAACGGTGCTCCAGTGTCCCTTTATTTTGTTCGACATATTTCATTTTCATATTTGCTGCGTGATATGTTGCAATGAAGTTGCGTCACATAACATCAATGGATGTTTCAGTTATTCCAAACTCTCAACGCCAACATCGACATTCATTCTGGATCCAGTCTTCACTTTCTAAGCAGTTGACAGTCAACGATTCCTCCGTCATTTATCACTTCTAAACGACCGCAAATTAACTTCACTTGGCATCGGGTGGGCCTCGTGAATCAGGCCGAGCATTTAGCAGCGCTGTATCATTTGTCATTGTGGAGAAATGAAGCCACTGATCGCTCAGACAGTTTGGACGGGCAGCGGCCAGCGGGACCAACCCACTTCCGTCTCGTCTCGTCCCGTCTTTCGTCCGTCCTCCGTCCGTCCGTTCGTCCGTCTGTTTGCTTGTCCCGTCTCGTCCGGTACCGTCCGTCCCGTCCCGTCCTGTCCCGTCCCGTTCCGTCTTGTCCCGTCCTGTCCCGTCCCGTTCCGTCTTGTCCCGTCCTGTCCGTCCCTCTCGCCTCGTCCGTCTTCCATCCATCCCGTCCCGTTCCGTCCCATCCGTCCGTCCCCGTTCGTCCCGCGTCCGTCCCGTCCGTCCCGTCCGTCCCATATCGCGCCGTGTCAGTCTCAGAAAGTCAACATCGTCTTCCGCTGGTTAACGGGTCGGAGGCGACAGCGGGGCAGACCGCCAGGTGCTGTGATTCGCTGGCCGGGGCGGCAGCTTTCTACAAACATCCGAGTCCACGCTGTCGTAGATTGGCGGATATGCTGGATGACGCGAGCGGCTCTGTGGTATTGCAAAAATGTCACAGCAGGTCAGGTCGGGTCAGATTAGGAAGGTCAGCTAGTCAGTTGAGGCGAGTGTGAATTTCTTGTGAGCTGTCCAGTGTCCAGTCTCCCACCCAGCTTCTAAGTGGGTTTTGTGGTTCACGACTGTGTTAATTCATTCGGTGACTCGTAGCAGCACCGACCCCGAGTCCACGTCCTTGGCACTCGTCCTGTTCCGGCGCCCCTCCGCTCGCCGCTATAGGAATTCAAAGAAATGACGCAGGATGACGCCACCCTGCTGGAGCGGAGTGTCATAACTCGGGGGCTCGACTCACTCACTCAGTCAATTCGGCAACTCGGCTCACTTACTCAGTCAACTCAGCAACCCTACTCCTTCAGATCATTTGGAACAGGGGAGCGTAGCTCAGACCCAGGAGCTGATCCAGTCTGGATCTGGACACGACTCCAGGCGTGGACCAGTCGGAAATAATCGGATGTTTCTGCATTTGTATTTATTCTTTGGAATCCTTACTTTCTTGGGATAAGTTTTTAGATCACTACAAAATAAATGAGCCCCAATTTCAAATTTGACATTTTTGTGAGTGCCTGCTGCAGAAAACAAGAAAGTGTGCCAGTAATCTGTTTGCAATCAGCCCTATCATTGCTAAATGCTAGGCATATTGTACTTTTAAAGCATGCCTATTACTTTGTCAATGACTTAGCTATAAGTTTTCCCGGACAGTAAACTGCATGAAGCTGTTTCACTCAGTTTCAGGAATATCATTTGATAGTATAAGTACAATGTTTAGTCAACAATCTTCTACATTCCACTTGATAAGTCAAAATGGTCATGCTGAAATATTTTGGCAGCATAACGTGATGAAATGAGCTTGATATATAAGGCAATGTTCTATCAGAAGCTCCAGACATGTTAATCTCTAGTGCAGTTAAACCTGGAGTGAGTTCAACATAAGATTATGTTGCTAGCAGGCACTGCTTCATTCAATTTACTTTTGAGTCACTATCCTTCAATTTCAGGTGAGTCAAGAGAAACAATGTAATTAAAGGAAGCTGACGCATGTAAGAGAAGGAAAACATATTGACATTCAGCAACAATGTAGCTGTTGCAAACGTAGCAACTTATACTAGTGTAAAAGTTGCTACGTTGCTCGTTCGCTTCTAATAGCATTTCTGCAAGCAATGCCTTTATTCTGTAAGACTCGATTTGCGAGTAGGTATCATCAAAAACAGCCTATGATGAATTGCTTAAACTACAGTTGCAACTTTAAACATTTAAAAACGTTAAATATAATTGATAACGAGTTGTTAAAGGGACTATCCCACCTTTAACATGGGGTTTGAGTTGAGATAGCCAAGTTTGCGGCGAGGTTCAGAAACCACTATCTATCTAGGTTGCAACCCCCGCGGCCTCTTGGTGTTGAAGAAATTCGTTCCCTTCATTTGAAAATGGGCCTTGTACAAGACCCTATCTTCAACATGGAGCGACCGTTAGTGTGACGTCACCTCGTTTAGTCATTCTGATTTAAATGGGTTTGTTCGTTGAAAAATCGCTTAAAGCTTGGTCTGAACTTTGTTGTGGTGCCTACAGAGTAAACAGAATCAGCTTTATGACAGTAATGTGGCCTGGGGAAGGAGGTAATTTTGGGCTGTGACGTCACATATTTGAAAGTTTGTGTTTGGAATATGGGAAGCCTAAGATGTTTAATGAAAAATAAATGCCAGAACCGTGTTCCTGGTCATCCAATCTATAAAGTTGGGCACAATTTAACTGGTTTTAACAACATTTTAGAAGGTGGGATAGTCCCTTTAAGAGATGTGATCTGGTTATCCACTTTCAGAGGGGCTGGGCTGCCTCTTCAATTACGTTATTCGACCAGTGGTGGCTAATTGCTGTGCCCCTGTGGGAACTTTTATGCATTAACGTATATTACCATACGCAACCCAAACGCGGGTGCGTTTTGGCTGGCTTCTTTTGTTTCTGTTTCTGCTGACACAAATAATAAAATGCTTTTTGGTGAAGTCGTAATGTAGCGGCTGCGTTCAGTGCCCAATATTGCAACAAATATACATACATTCTATGACTTTTTGTCAGGCCATGACGGTATGTGTACTCTGAGGGCTTCCATGTTACTGTTAATTTTGATGATTTGCAAGCACCAGTAGCAAATGATTTAATATATCTACCTGAATTGGTATTTCACAGAACAATTTTGTAACTCCAATCTAAGCCAATTCAGACATTGCCCATTTTGTCTTCCGTTATGTAATGAAATAATACTAGCCAAAATAATTTCAAGCCTTCTTGAACACGCGTGCAGCTTATTACGGAGCGAGCGAAGCGAGCGGAGTCTTACGTAGAATAACGGAAATTTCTGAGTATGAGCGGCCGGCCGGCCGTGGTCACGATTCTGTGACGCTTATATCTCAGCAACCACTTGACCGATTTACATGCGGTAATTTTTGTAGGGTAGCTTCATTCCTTCTACCAAGTATTGGACTATTCCCGATGCATGTGGGTGACCCCTTATGCACGTGCCACGTGCAAAACGAAGAGGTGTCACTTTTGTAATTGTTGCAATATCTCGGTAACTACTTGGCCGATTGCGCTGAAAGTTGGCATGCAGGTAGGCACCCACTAGGCAATGCATATCCATGTGCCGGAGTTGGGGTGCTGCTGCACGTGCTCACGTGCAGGGGTCGATTCCAGATCTCGAGAACGGCTGGACCGATGGCGCTCAAATTTGGTACATGGCTAGGGACCGGTTAGTAGGGTGCCGTGCAAAAGTCAGTTGGGACCCATTTTGCACGTGCGCACGTGCAGAGTGCCGCTTCCAGATCTCGAGAACGGCTGGGCCGATTGTGCTCAAATTTGGCACATCGCTAGAGACCGGTTAGTAGGGTGCCGTGCACAAGTCAGCTGGAGGTACACCCTCGAAATTTCGCAGGTGCAAGGCTCACCCTCTCGCTCGCTCTGTTAGTCGCCCCAAAAGGCGTTATACTGGTTCTGTAATTATTTTCATACATTAGGCACAATAGGAAGTCGTGGCATAGTTGTCCTGACGTTGTTTGTTTTCTACTTGCTTACGGCGTTCAGCACAAGCCTTCCTACACATTTTGATTTCTCACCGCTGTGTGTTTTTAATCTTGTGACTCCGTCTTTTAGTGGGTCAAGTGCCTGTTGACGGTCTGTTGAATAAGTACAAATAAATAAAAATACCGCGCAACATCATGCGCATCTCTGTTGGTGAAAATAATGTGCTTATAGTTGACATGTGATCTTTTTTTAAAATAAGGATAGGTACAAAAAATCCCTTTAACGTGGAAGTCAGCTTGGTTTGAGATTGATAACTCTCATTCAAAAAGGTACAAAAATAAAAACGGCCACAGGGAATTTTCAAGTGGTGGTCCAGCTCGTCGTACAATAATCAGACAATAGTCACGGACAATCAGATACAGTGAATACTGTGAATATACATTTGTCATTTGAGCTATTCTCATGGTGGCTGAGCTTCGAGCGTATTGCGATTATTTAATTGTGACTGCTTCGTTACTGTAAGTCGTCTTTTCTCAACGTTTATTGTGGCATACTCAT